GAGGAAAAAGCAGCAAGACATTAGGTTTAGCAAAACAGGATAATGCATCTCTAACAACTAGACCGTAAATGATAGAATTAAATACCTATTGGGCATGCTTTGGAGGTCCCATCCCTTTAGTGCTCCAACCTCACTGAGGGCAGCCTTCCACTTGTCAATAGTCTCATCATCAAACCGCTTCTTGTTTGCTTGAGAAACAATGGCATTGCCGTAGTGCCCAGTCTGGTATTTTACTTCGGATGGTGTGACATCATAGAAAATGGGCATGATCTTATGTCTCCTTGTGTTCTTGCTCTCCACCATCTTGACCAACTCCCTGAGGCACCAGGGACTGTCTGCATATCCTTTGGAAAATATTGGTATGGAGATCTTTGACTGCTCAATAGCTTGGAGAAGCTGGCCACCGATCTCTTCTCCAATGCGGAGCTCTTCATCATCTTTATATGCTTGAATTCCAGCGTCAGTCATGCTGATGTGAAGGTAATCAGTAATGTCACTACGGGTATCTGGTTCTCTAAGCTCAAAAATACTTCGTAATCATATCTTGATAACTTTTCTATTTCCTGATTATTAGAAGAGGTGTTCAACATGTTTATTTGATCTCTATACACGGTCTCCCTGTAAGCTGCGTTCAGCACAAAAGATAAAAAATAGTAGCAACTACTGTCAATGAGAAGTTCAACCACAAAGGTTTGAGCAAATTCTCTGCGAAACAAGGAATTTAAAATGCAACGCAAAAATGCCGACCACGTGCAGGATGATGAGGCTAATTTCTATTAGAAGCAAATGTAGAGATAAGTTTAAAGTCATTATAAAAACGTATGGTGTGGCTGATTTCTGTCAGAAGCAAATGTAGAGATCTCCTTAAAGTAATTGTATCGAAACCCCATCCACAATTGCACATGCTTTTTTCATGGCAAAGTTTTAGACCCGGTAGCGACGAAAGTTAGATCCGTCTAAAATCTATCGGAAGGAAACCGAAAAGAATGCTCAATTATAAGTTTTGGTACACAATTCATTTTTTTGTGTTGCTGCTTAAGCAGATCTGTGTGGAAATTTTCTAGGGAGATAATAAGTGTCAAACATATCTTAGAATTCTAGGTTAATTGTCTTTTGCATAGAGATGCTTCTAATTCTTTACTTACTGTTTGACCTATTGGTTTGTCATGCCATGAGAGATTGTCTTTTGCAAAAATACTCTTTCGCAGCTATCCTAGCCTCTCTCTTTAGTTTCATCCATGTATATTTGACAAATTCCAGAAATTTATCTCTGAATATAATGGGAAAACTTTGCAATCAAAGATGTTATAATGGCCACTAAAACGTGGCTAACGTATTAGTACTTTGTCGGAAAATTGGTCGGATTATGGTTAAAGCATATTGTCGCGACCTCCCCGAACTGGCCCCGCCGCCTAAGTGGTTTGGCTAATGGATTGTTAAGTCTAAACCTAGCTCGGGCTCTCCCAAACCCATACCAACTCACGACTTAAGGTTTACGTTGTTAACGTGCAAATCAATTTCATCTAGGAGTCGCCACTAATCAGTTAAAATTCCATTCCTAACCAAGCTAGGGAAAGCAACAATCAACACATGAACCTAACATGCATAATCAATCATGTGCAAGGTTAAATTAAACGCGCAATTCAAAGTGTGTGAATCGAGCAAGGTGCAATCAAACATAACGCTAATCACACAAAGAGTGCAAAAAGGGGCAATCCCAAAGCCCAATTTTCAATTTCTAATTTTCGAAATTTCATAATTTTTTAATTTTTTTAATTTTAATTTTTTTTGAAATTTTTTTTAATATTAAAATAATATAAAAAAGGACCGCGTTGGATCTCCAAATCCGACCTGGGTCGGAGGCGACCATGAGGGCCCAATTCGGAATAAACCCACAATTAAAATAAAACAATAAAAAAAAAACAAAACACCCAAGCCCACTAGGAGTAAAAGACTAAATGACAATTTAGCCCCGTTCCCAAATTCGGCCCACTCACGAAACGCCCCAACACTTAAAAGACCCACTCTAGTAACTAAAAAGCCCAAAACCATAAAAACGTAAAAAACCTAAAACCAGTCCAAACACCAAACGAAACCCTACCAGGTTAGACCCACACGCTCGACCCGACTTGTGGCCGCCGACCCGACTCGCTTGAAACCCTAGTGCCCACGACGCGCACGCCCGACCCGACTCTCCGACCAACCCGGGACCCCCATTTAGCAATTTCTTTTCTAATATTTTTCTTTTTCCTTTCTTTTTCGTTTCTTATTTTCTTTTCTTTCCCTTCTGGACGTCTTCTTCCCCTATTGCCCAGAAACTAATACATGAAGCCCAGAACAGTAGAACACCAACTCTTGCTTCGCGTTCTTGCGACCCAGAAATTTTTAACGCTGCGCATTTGTTCTAAAACGCCGGAACTTCAACAATAATAACAACGTCCTATGCTCGACAACGCAATGCCCGGCCAAACACATCACATACGAAGCTACATTAGCAGAGAACACAGAAGACGGAAGAACGAAAAAGCACAAACATGGAACAACGAAAGCAGTTGTCGTGAACAGTACGGTTCGGGGAATCATATAACCCAAACCCATCTTCAGGCATCACAAACCAACGTACATCCTGACATTCCAACAAACCGGACTCGAGATAAAAGTTCACGGATCTAGTTGATGCATTTCAGCAAACACGTGGTGTGCAATAATGGACAGGAAACCCCCCCGACCCAAACCGCTCGCGAAATCGACCCAAACTCAAAATGTAGTGAACAAGCCATGCTCAACATCAACTCGGAAATGGTTCTTTCACACCGAACGCGAGCACAAACGAAGAACACTAAATCCCGATCTCGGTTGAACCGAGACAGGGCGAAACTGAGCAACAATCAGGGTGAAGAAGAACGAGAGCTCAGTCGCCGGAAGTGGCCCTACCCAGCTCGGCGACGGCGAATAGAGGGCGAACTTGAGATATATCGGACTTAGTCCGGTCGCCCCGCACGCCTCCGAGCTGGGATCCTCGGGGAATCGACCTAAAACCCCAAGAAAAAAACAAACCAAAACCTACCGCGGCTTTGGCTCAGGAGAGGGAAAACGTCGGAGGAACGAGCGCCTCGTCGACGAAGGCTCGGGCTCAGTGGTTGTCGGAGGAACGGGAGAGCTGTCCATGGGGAAAAGCTCCTCTTTTGTCTTTTCTCTCTCTCTTTTTCTTTTTAAAATTTTTATAATGATTTTTTTAAAGGACATAAAAATAAAATAGAATAAAAGGGAAACATGTTTTACTAAATTCTATTAATGCAAATTTACCTAACATCTATGTGCCATGTAATTTAATCAAAATATTTTTGTTTAGATGTTAAAAATTAACTCTAAATTTTATGTGCAATGAAATCATAAATGAATAGTCAAAATTTATGTGTCAACACATATCAGTTGCATTGACGGGTGAATTCAAGTATCACTTAATTTCTAACAGTAGCCAGCTACACCAATCATTAGTGGTTTGCCGGACTTTCCTCTCTTTTTTTTTTTTCTTTTTGGGCAAACTAAGAGATTGGACCGTCTGTGTCCCCTACAAAAAACACCTTATTCTTACGGCAGTAACTAAACTTCAAGATTTAAATCCCTGACTTATATATCCCCTTCTAATAGTAGACTTTGACAGACTCATGACGCAAAAAGCATACAGATTTAGCTTGTACGTAGCTCGAATAAGCTCATGAAGTATTAGAGAAGATTTGAAATAAAAGCGTTGTTGAAGCTGCGAAAAAAATTGAAGGCATTGAAGCTTGCGAAAGCGTGCAATTAGAGGGGGAAAAGTCGATCCAAAGCATGCAAAACAAGTATCCTTGTCCCTGGTGATTAGCAAAAACTCTTCCTTTCTCTTCAAAGCATCCAATCCACTAACAAAAAAAACACTGCCATATAAATCAAGTAGTTGTGGATGTTGATATGTGATGAATATAAAAGCTGTAAGTGGCGTACAGAAGAATGTGTGCATCAAAATCTAAATGTTGTTCTGTCCTCTCCTATGTTTCTCTCTCGTGTACTTAAGTTTTAAGGCCGTGGTCCTCCCGTCTCTTTTCTTTTGCTCTGATAATTCCTTTTTCTTGAATTGCTTATGTACCCCCCCAGCTAAAAACAAGAATCGAGTAAAATGAAATCAACTAATTCCACTCATAGTAAATCAAGATTTAACGTGTCAAGCTACATGACAGATAGCGAGAATCAATCACCGATTACAGTAAATCTTTTATCTTACACTTATAAAAGAATAAACTGATGCATTCACGGCGAAAATAACTTAGAGCGGAATTACCGGAAGTAGTGGTGATACTGAAGGACAGAATGTGTCAGGGGCGAGCCTGAATAAGATGGAGGCAACAAGATAAGAAGCGATGAAGAAATGGGTCTTGAGTGAAGAAATGGTTCTTGAGTGCCGCCTGCACTTGTCCTCGCAATTCTTGAGTGCTGCCTGCACTTATCCTCGTCGCACATCAAATGGAGAAAGCTTGCTTGTCGGGGAACAAAAAGGGGTCAACAACCCTTTTGAAATTCCTTTGAAAGATTAACTTTTTGTTCATTTGTTGTCCCAGCAAGTTGTCCGCATGTTCACACTCCCTCAACACAAAGAGTCAAAGACGCTTTATCAACATGGGTACAGACCATAAGCCAAAATAAATAAATAAAGGGAGACACTATAGTTTGATTCCGGTTCCGCCAATAATGGTTGATTTCTTTGTTTTCTTTCTTAAGATGCCGTTGAGCCATAACCTTTAGCATCAGGTTCTTTAATGTTCACCGCTTATATTTTAATATTAGATGGTGGGAAAGGTTTACAAGACAAGAATGCAAAAGGAGAAATCTAATTATTATTGGGTATTGCTCAGAGGAAGTGTGAACCGTCAGTTAATTATTAATAAGTACTCAAATCTTTGATCACAAGCATGCAGAGTTGTTTTCTTAATAAGCCCGGATAGCAAACTTTAGGAAGAAATTCTTAAGAAAACCGTTCATCTTGAATTCAAACAAAGTAAAAAAAAAAATTCAATTTTACTCACAATAGTTTATTGGGATTAAACATGACAATTAAGTACAAATATTTTGCAAAATCCTAAAGAAAATTTTGTTACCGAGCTTCATGTACTCCACAAATTTCCCACTAGTATGTAACGAAAGAATAATTGTCCAAGTTGAACAGAGTATAATAAAGAATTTTTACATTTATTTTGTCTCCAATTCTCCATTGTCTCCACCCCCTACGACTCTCTGCTTCCACTTCCACCCTACACCACGCCATTTAAATCGCGCCACTGCATTGCCATGATTACGGTTCCTTCTCCACTGCTGTTTTCGAATCGTTGTCTCCGGTAGATGCGTCTTGAAATTGAGCCTTCTCAGCCGCTGCTTGCCTAATCTAGTACACCACCGCTTTGCTTGAACCTTCAATCCTATGCCAATCGGAAGCTCCTCCCAGGTGCTAAACAAGTGTTCAACAAAATGCTGGATAGAGAGAGAAGCTGAGATTCTTCTTTGTTGTGCCTCTCCGTGACTAAAGTCGCAGTTCCTACATTTCAAATGGTACTAGTTAGTTTCAATACCTTCAAGCTATCCTTAACCCATTAGCCCCTAATCGCTTTCCCCTTCAACCCATTATTACCTTAAATGCAGCGATACATCTACCACTCTTTGCCGAACCCATGTTCCAGCATTTGCTATTTACATTCTGTCTTTTAGCACTGGTCCCACTAATTGAAGTAAGCTTTTACGGGAGAGATGGTCGGCGACTGAGTTTGGTTTGAGAGATACCGAGGTTTACCAACTCACTGAGGAGGGCACATCTATAGTAGTGGCAACAAAATGGAAGGTGTGATGGAATGGGCTTTGGTGGCTAGCCCTAATAAGCCATCGGAGTATATATGAAGATTATGAGCTGGAACTGTCAAGGGTTGGGCACACCTTTGACAGGTCAAGCGTTGAGAGCCCTAATGGCTCAACAAAGGCCCAATATTCTCTTTCTTATGGAGACGAAGAATAAAGATTATGTGGTAAATCGCATCAAAAGGAATCTAAACTTGCAGCACTGTTTTGTGGTGAATCCTATAGGGATTGCTGGAGGACTAGCGGTACTATGGACTGATCTGGTGTCTTTGAATGTGGAATATGCAACCGAAAGGTTTATTAACTTGACTTGTGAGGAAAGCGCAAGCAACAGAACCATGAGGCTCACGTTCGTACATGCACCAAATGTGTTTCAAGAGAGACTCGCGTTATGGGAGGAGTTGAAAGGCCTTAATTCCAGCATCCCCTTCCATGGATTTGTCTCGGGGACTTCAATGAAATCTTATATCATTGGGAAAAAGTTGGGAAGAGGATGGCAGAGCATTATCAATTGGTAGCATTTCAGGATTTCCTGAATGATAGCTCGCTAATGGACTTAGAATGTAAAGGGTGTGCATACACTTGGGCGAATAATAGAGAGGGAGATGCATATGTTAAAAAAAGATTGGATAGAGCCCTATGCAATGTGGAGTGGAGAGTTTTATTTCCTAGTGCTGAAGCTTATGCCTTGCCGGCTATTGGATCGGGTCATAGCCCCATCTTGATTTCTTTACATCCCAAGATTACGAGAAGGAGAAAAGTCTTTAAGTTTGAAGTATTTTGGCTCGAGGACGAAGAGTGCAGTAGCATAGTAAGGACAGTGTGGAAATCCCCTGAACTGGTACATGCTGATTTATTGAGTAAACTAAAGAAAGTTTCAGGGGAGTTGGCTAAGTGGAGTGGGACAAAATTTTCGAATGCATTCTGGCAAATTAAGTTGCTGAAGCTGGAACTTCAAGAGATTACTAATTGTAGCCAAATTGGCTTGGACAAAGAAAGGGTGGAAAGCATGATAGGGCAAATAGAAAAATTATGGCAACAGGAGGAAATGTTTTGGGGAATGAGATATTGCATCAATTGGCTGAAATGGGGTGATAAGAATACCAAGTTTTTCCATGCTACCACGATTCAAAGAAGACAATGCAACAGAATTACAATGCTGAAAATGCCAAATGGGGAGTGGGAGTCGAGATCCCATAAGGCTGAAACAGCAGACCATGGATTTCTTTAAATCCCTTTATAGTTTCGAAGGTGCCAGAAATTTCCAACCAGTTGTGGATCAATGCCCATGCCTAGTTTCGAATGAAATGAATTCTTTCTTGGCTTCACCAGCAACAATGGAAGAAGTAAAAGAAGCTGTTTTTGGCATGGGGGCTACTAACCCTGGCCCAGACGGAATGAATAGTCACTTCTACCAACAACATTGGGAAGATATAAAGGAAGATGTGCTCAGCGCGGTGCAGTTCTTCTCTGACATAGGTACATTTGATCCCATAGTGAATAGAACTCATATTTCATTGATCCCAAAAGTCCCAAATCCGGAGACGTTTGACCAATTTCGCCCTATCAGCTTGTGCAATGTTGTTTATAAGATTATTTCCAAGGTCATGGCAAATCGTCTTAAATCTTGGTTACCAGAAATAATTGAAATGGAGCAAAGTGCCTTTGTGAAGGGGAGGCAAATCCAGGATAATATCATGATTGTACAAGAAGTCTTGCATCAGCTCAGAGTTAGAAAGAGGAAAAAGAAGTTTCAGGCGGTGCTTAAACTTGATATGAAAAAAGCCTACGATAGAGTGGAATGGGATTTTCTAGAAGCTTGCTTGTTGAGAATGGGCTTTAATGTTAAGTGGGTTTCCTGGGTAATGCAGTGTGTTACAACAGTTTCGTTCAGCGTTAAGTTTAATGGGGAACCTCTGCCTTATTTTCAACCCACACAAGGAATACGATAGGGTGACCCATTGTCCCCATACCTATCTATAATTGTAGCAAATGTGCTCTCGTCTCATGAAGAACGCAGTGGAGGAGGGTAGATTTAAAGGAATCTAACTCAGCAAGGATTGTCCCACATTAACCCATTTGTTATATGCCGATGACTCCATATTTTCTTCGAAGCAAGAATCACAGAATGTCAGACACTAAGTGAAATCTTGAATCAATATTGCTTTGCCACGGGACAAGCCATTAACCTAAATAAATCTGGAGCTTTCTTTGGTAATGGTTGTCCCGAGAGTCTAAGAAGAAATTTGGCACAGGAGTTGAGGGTCCCAGAAATTGAGAAAAGAGAGAAGTATTTGGGAATTCCATCTGATTGGGGTCAGACGAAAAAGCAAATGTTTGCATGGATTATGGCACGGGTAAACACGAAACTGGAGGGATGGAAAGAAAAACTCATGTCCAGAGCAGGCAAAGAGGTTCTAATTAAGGCAGTGGTGCAAGCTCTACCCCAACATGCTATGTCCATTTTCAAAATGCCAGTTTCTATTTGTTGTTCAATCGAGCAAAGAATTGCTTCCTTCTGGTGGAAGAATAGAGAATCAAAAGCTCGAATTCACTGGAAAAAATGGGATGTCTTGAAGAAAAGGAAAGACGATGGAGGATTAGGTTTCAGGGATTTAATCAATTTCAACAAGGCGATGCTAGGTAAGCACGCCTAGAGAATTGCACAAAACCCTTCCTCACTGTGGAGCCAAACATTCAAAGGGCTTTATTTTCCATAGGGAAATTTCTGGCATACTGGAAAAGGGTATCGCCCATCTTGGGGATGGCAAAGTCTATTGATACGGAGAGATGCTATAGCAAAGGAAGTGAGGTGGGCAGTGGATGATGGGAAAGAAATAAAAATCCGGGGAGATCGTTGGCTAAAACAGGGCATTATTGGAGGACCTGATAACCTAGGGGAACCACAAACAGTAGCAGAGTTGATAAGAATTGAGGAAAAGGAATGGAATGAACAAAAGATACAGGGACTTTTTGATGAACAGATTGTACATGAAATCCTAGCAATTCCTTTAAGCATACATGCGGAAAAGGATAAGCTAGTGTGGACTTGTAACAAGTCAGGGGATTATACAGTTAAAAGTGCCTACAACAACATCACAGCGCGGAAAATCAGCACCCACAAAGTCAGCCTTCGTCTTCGCATCAGACACCGAGAACTCTATGGTCTATGATTTGGAGCCTACAAACCCCTCCCCCCCCCCCCCCCAAAGATTCGAATTTGTTAATGGTGTATTTGTCAGTATGCACTTCCTACATCTGAAAACTTGCGCAAGAGGAAAATAATACCCGACTCGAAGTGCCCTTTGTGCCATCAACACCCAGGGACAATTGAGCACTTATTTTTTGCTGTGTCGCTGGACGAAGGCAGTTTGGGCTCACCCGGCACTAAACATACGAATTTCGAGTCAAGGTTTGCAAAGAATTGAAGAGTGGCTCTTGAAGTTCAAAAAACCCCCCAACAAACTCACCCTCGGTTGAGCTAGTCGCCGGTGTGCTGTGGAATATGTGGAAAGCTTGGAAACACTTTGTTTTACGATGGAGAAAGCCAGATCCAATCGCGGTGGTTGAGGAAGCCATAGCAATTCAGAGTAGCGTTAGGAGATGGAGCGAACTGAAAAACCCAAATGAACTTCAACGAGGAAACACACCGTCGGTTTGGTCTCCACCGAAGAAGGGCTCGCTGAAGATAAATGTGGATGGGTCGCTCAGTGTGGGATCATCTGCTGGAGCCATAGCAATACCAGCCTGACTTTACTTTTTACCTAAAATTCAAGAATTAAATTCCCTGACTAATGTATCCCCTTCTAAAGAAGAGATGTCGCTGCGCCAATTGCCTCTCTAGCAATACCAGACTTTGTTAGACTCAATGACGCAAAAGCATACACATTCAGCAGCTTGAATATAGCTTGAATAAGCTCATGAAACATCAGAGAAGATTTGAAAGCATTGTTGAAGCTGTGAAAGAAGTGGAAGGCATTGAATCATGCAAACGCGTGCCAATAAGAGGCGATAAGTCGATGATCTATTATGTTCTCTTCTTTTCTTGTCCCTTCTGAATAGCAAAAACTCTTTCTTTCTCTTCAAAGCATCCAATCAAAACACTAAAAAACACTGTCGAAGTTATCAGGTAGCTGTGGATGTTGATACGTGACGAACATAAAAGCTGCAAGTGGCGTACGGAAGAATGTGTGCACCGAATCAAATGTTGTTCTGTCTTCTCCTATGTTTCTCTCTCGTGTACTTAAGTTTTAAGGCCGTGCTTCTCTTGTCTCTTTACTTTTGCTCTGATAATTCCTCTTTCTTGCATTGCTTATGTACCCCCAGCTATAAACGAGAATCGAGCAAAATGAAATCAACTAATCCCTCTCAAAGTAAATCAAGATTTAAAGCAACAATGTCTCAGGTAAATCATGACAATGTGTGCTCTTTTTTGTTTCTTTAAATGCCCAGTTTGTGTGACAGCAACAAGGAATTGAATCAATTAGAACGTTTTTCTTTTTTTAGAAAAGTAAAGCTTTGTCCAGTGCTTTGTATAACTTCTCTGCAGCCTGCAAAAATGGAATGGGATCAAGAAAAACTTATCTATACAACACATCCACAATGTCTCAGGTGCATATGATTATTTTGTTATCAGCAAAAGTTGATATGATCATTGTAACATGGAATAGTTAGATACACAAATCCGTTCCGAAAACCAATCTTTGCAGCCTATCTGGATTGGCATGTCATTTTGCTTGATGCGTCCATAGCTAGAGTGAACACCATGGGGAAAAGGGGGTACCCTTGTTTGGGTTCCAGAAAAATTGAACAGACCATCTGTGACTCCATTCATCAATTAGGGCAGAGAGGTTGAAACCTTAGTCTGATGCATCGTTTACTACCATTTATAACATTTTCAAGTATCCGTCTGAGAATTGCCTTCAGCAAGTTGTTTTTCACCTCATTCATTTCCACATTATCACTGTCATAGAACATATTTGACAATCCTATGGATGTTATCAGAAGAGTAGGGGAAGTATGTGCACCATGTCATTTGCTAGTCTATATGTTGTCAACGTCAAACAAGAGGGATGTTCTACCTCTGTAATGAGGATAATAAAAATATATATATAAATGCTATTCTTCACATATAACATTAGTGACAATTCAGTAGTGAAGATAGTACGTTAGCTTTGTGTATCTGGGCTTGCAAGTGAGGAGGATAAAGGTCAAGATTGGCATTCTCTGCTAAACCATCGAACTCAGAATTAAGCATGCGAATGATCTCTGAGCTCTCGTTGTTGACAATTGTCTCAGCTTCTTATCCCATAGAACCTATCATAATGCGCAATACATATGCTTTGAGCACTGGCAACTTGCAAGCTTGAAGCACATGGAGCACAGTGGAAATAGAATAACTACTTCACAGAAATGTCACCAACAGGAACTGAATATTTTCCAGAGTAGATCGTACTTGCAATCTATTAAAGTTCTCTCAGATTTCCTGCTCCATTTATAGGGTCAGGCTCTGCTCCAGGTTCTTTAGCGTTGGAAGCAGGGAAAACCCACGCAATGTGTGTCACCATCTTTTGTTCTTTCCCACTTCGATTTGGCTACCTGACATTAAATAACTTTTTACATTGTTGTGTTGACATGGATCAATTCTCGGAAAAAACATCTGATGTTGATTCCTTGGTTTCAGGAATCCAAATTTTGGCATTCCTCAAGCGTGATGGATCTGGAAACTTTTGCAAATTTAAACAGTTCACAATGTGAAGCATCTCCAATGATTCTGAACCACATTGAATCATAAACAGCTTGCAACAATCATTTATATGAATTTTCTTGAGCTTCTTCAAGTTAGTCAAATCAGGCAACTTCACCAATGATGGAAGTTTCATGAGCTCTAATGTTCTCAGGTTCTCCAAACCTTCAAGGCCTTGAATCTTTGTTAGCTCATCACAACCAACAATGACCAAATCTGATAACGCTTTCAAATTCGAAAGATCATTCGTTGTTTTCATTCTCCGACAATACTTGATGCCCAAGTGTGACAAATTTGTCGGAAGCTTAGGTAGGCATTGCAAATTAGGACAGTGGAGCTCCAGTTTCTTCAGTTGAGAAAGGAGAACGGGATTGGAAGATAGGGCGGTGATACAAGGAGAAGACAACTTCAAGAACTCTAGCATGCGTAATGTTCCAATCCAACAAGCAATTGGAGCTGCTTCATGTTTAGAAGGACCCTCAAGATTAAACCCCAAAGTCAACCTCAAATTTCTCAAATTTATTAGGTTCGAGAAGTTTGGCAAAGTCTCCATCGAGGTTTTAAAACACAGATTGATCAGACTTTCTGGAAGCTGAGGCACTACCGAAATTCTACTACTACCCAATACCAGAATTTTCAGAATTGGTAGATTCCCAATTTCCTGATTATCGAAAGAGGCATTCAACATATTTGTTGAGATTACATCTCCATCCGAAAGCAAAGATTTAAAATCTCATGTTACCGTGAAAACTCCATTGAGGAAAGAGGATTCACAAGAGATTGGTACTACCTTTTCAATCAGAAGGAAAGGAAAAGAAATTGAAGTAAACGAAGCCTCCAGCAATACGTGTCAAAATCAGAATTGCTCTTGATAACCATTTTGCTGCTTTGTGCCTTGGTGAGGACTGTGATGAAGAGTAAAAACAACCAGCGAAGGATTTTTTCTTTTCTAATTATATTGGTTTTTTGTTAATGAGCTGTCATTCAGGTATTAGTTGTTTTAGATCTGAGAATGAGATATAAATTGTAAATGAGCGAGAGAGACAACAAGCTCTCAGATGAAATTTTTCTCCTGGGTTTGAGAGAAATGGCCATGGTAGCAAGAGATCATCCTCATCTGCTTTCGTTTATTTCTTTTCTACTCACCCATCTTTTTTCTCATGGTATCAGAGCAACTCTCTGAGAGCACTAAATAGTCACAAAACAATGGCAGCAAGAACTCCGAAATATCCTTTTTACATTCATGTAAACATTACTAATTTTGTTACGATAAAGCTTGCTGAGGACAACTTTCTTCTTTGGCAAGCTCAGTTTCACAGGTTCTTGCGGAGTCAAGAGCTATTTGGTTTCATCAGTGGTGAAGTCCCACCACCCACACAAAAGCTACGGGTTGAAGTCGAAGGGAAGGAGGTTGAAGCTGTGAATCCCGATTACTCATATTGGGTAAGGACTGACCAACTAGTGTCATCCTGGATTAGTGGAGCGGTCTCCGAGAATATTTTGGGTCTGATTATTGGCTTGGAGACGTCATATGAGGTATGGCAAACTTTACTGAATCGCTTTACACAGAAGTCAGTGGCTAGGGAGTTTGAACTAAGAGGGAAACTCCAAGCCTGCCAGAAACGGGATAGGCAATTGTCTGATTATCTTAGGGAATACAAATTAATTTGCGATCAGTTAAATGCAATTGGGAAGCCTGTGGATGAGATAACAAAGGTCTTCGGTGTTTTGGAGGGACTAGGATCGGAATATGAGAATTTTAGAACAATTATGTACTGCTTGAAGCCTCAACCAGACTACGATGAGGTTATATCGCAGCTAGAGAGATTTGAAACAAGGCTGCAAAATTATTCTTCAAACCAGTATAATCCTAATTTGGCCTATTATGGGCAAAGAAACACTGAGGTAGAGCAAAAGGTGGAATTTGACAGGGAGCTTGGTCAGCCTAACTTTGCATTTGTAGGCCAGAGAGGGAACAACCGTGGGGGACGTAACTATGGCAAAGGCCGTGGCTTTGACAATCGAGGTCGTGGTTATGGATATCAAGGAAGAAACCAGAATTACAGGTCATTTGGCTTGAACCAAAAACAAGAGGCGCAAGGGTTTAAACAACATAATAACTTTTATGGCTCGGGTCAGGGATTTCAACTTTATACAGGTTCCTCACAAAGGTATCAAGATATAAAGTCTTATTGTTCCCCAAATTTGTCATATAACAAGAACTTACAGGAAGAGAAAGCAACAGATGGCGTTAGATTGGCTTGTCAAATCTGCAAACGTCTAGGACATGATGCACTTCGATGTTGGTATCGGTTCGACAATTCATACCAAGGTGAAGATATTCCGACAGCCCTAGCAGCAATGCATCTCGAGGATCCTAAAGGCAGTGAATGGTACCCGGATACTGGTGCTACAGCCCACATAACTGCTAATCCGGGTATTATTCACAACTCCTCAAAGCATAATGGAACCGATACGGTAATGATAGGAAATGGGTCATGTCTTCCTATTGCTTACACTGGTAAAGCGTTTTTACATACTGAGATTGATGCGTTACCTCTAAATGATGTGTTGGTGGTTCCAGAAATCAAGAAAAATCTCCTTTCGGTTTCGAAACTAACTGATGATTATCCTTGCTCTTTTATCTTTGACAAAAACTGTGTCTATGTAAAGGACAATCGCACCAACACAACAGTGATGCTTGGAAGGAAAATTGGGGGACTTTATCGAGTGGGCCAGCAGGCAATCGAGGTTCTGTTTACTCAAAGACATAAAGCTGTTGGGGAAGAAGTGTGGCACCAGCGGCTAGCCCACACCAACACTCAGACATTGAAGTTTCTTCATAACCAGAAAATGATCCAC